ATATATACATATACATATACATATACATACACACACATATATATATATATATATATATATATTTTCCTCTTTTTGCTGAAAAGTTGTGGCGCAGTTCTAGTAATCGCAACATTATTGTGTTGCAATTACCGTTAATTCATACCATTAACATGTAAATTTCGCTTTTAGTAATATTTTTTCACCGTTATGATAGCGGATAGTACAATAGATAATAATGTTTAATTATGTAACACAGAATATAATATAATGCAGCACACGGACCATGTAATAATAGAACAATAGATAACATTTGTTTAACGCTGAAATAATGCTCGAAAATTAAACTCTTTTGTTACCATTGTCAATGTCCAATTTTTTGCAAATTTAAATAATCGAAGGGCAAGTTCTCTTTAATAAATACAACCGTTAAAATTGTACAGTGTATGAAATATAAATACGCGCAAATGAAATTTTACGATCTCGCGTGAAATAAAATACAGTGCGCATTTTTATCAACATTGCTATTGAAGACTTTAAACAAACGTCGCATGTGAATATTCCAGCAAGATTACTAATACAAAATTATCAGAAAAGAACAAGTCGATAGTAGTAATAAAACAATAGATAACATTCGAAATAATATTTGAAAGTTAAACTTTTTCGTTGCCGTTTCAACATCAAAATTTTTTACAAATTTAAATAAACGGTCGAATAAATCCAGACGTATCGCGTAACTTGAATGTTTCGCGTCCGGTGTTGATGTTCAGAGAAATAGGCGGATTGCAGGGAGGCAGAAACGAGTCTCCTTGCGCGATCGTGAACTTGATTCGATGCGTAAGAACAGTTACTGACAAAGGTCATCATTCGATCTGCGCGACGCTGTTCCCGGGGGAGCATTATTTCGAGCATTATTGTGTTCATCACACGTGGGGCTCCTCCATTCTCCTGAGGATCTCCCGTTAAACCGAGCCGATGACGGTAACACGGGGAAAGGGGGGAAAATGGAGCGTCCCATTCTCCGTCCTTGTGTCACCGGACGAAGATGTAGGACGAAGATGTGTGGACATACGCAATAGTATATAACAAAATTCATCTACTCACGTGAAGTAGGACCAGCTCTCGATCGATACGATGTCTCTATGGTGTAGCTCCTCTCTCTCGCTCTCTCTTGCGTCCGCTGTCGGCCTCCCTCGTTGTCTCCCTTTGTTCACTCGCGCTAACGGGGCCTCGGCGGAGGAAACATCGGTGCACACAGGAGAGAATCGCGAAGAAAACCACGGAATTTAACCGCTTGCGACCCGAGTGCACAGAACAGAAGAGATTACAAACGAGAAGAACACAGAGCACGCATAATACACTCGCTCCCTCCCACCCTTTCCCTACCGCCCTCCTCGAGAGCGTATCGCGTCACCACAGCTGGTACAGTCGCGTCTCGTACAACTTGATATTGTACGTACAAGGGGGCGGGGGCGGCGCGCGCGCGCGCGCGCGCGACAGAGAGAGAGATATATATATATAAATATATATATATACGGTCGACTTCCGCTAAAACCGCGGTTGACTAGCCCTGCTCGTCGCTAGAAACGACGCGACGTCGCGAGGAAAAGGCGATCGCGATCGTGCGAACGAACGATGATATACTTTCTCTCTCTCTTTCCCTACCAG